CCCGATCATGCTGATTTTCGAACTTGACCTGCGTATTATGAATATTCATCGGTTCTGTAAGTTTCAAGCCAAAAGGTAAGACAGTTTTTCACTTATCATGTTATCGGTGTTGCATTTATGCTGAAAAAGATGAAAAAATAGGATAACTTCCACAAATATGGCCCGATCATGCTGATTTTCAAACTTGACCTGCATATTATGAATATTCATCAGTTTTGTAAGTTTCAAGCCAAAAAGTAAAATGGTTTTCCACTTATCGTGTTATCGGTGCTGCATATATGCTGAAAAAAGTGAAAAAACAGCATAACTTCCCTACAAGTGACCCGATCATGCTGATTTTCGAACTTGACCTGCGTATTATAAATGTTTATCAATTCTGTAAGTTTCAAGCTGAAATGAAAAACAGTTTTCTACTTATCGTGTTATCGGTAAAAGTGCACGGCGACGACGACGGCGACGACAGACGCAGGTGATGGCTATATGTACAGACACATCTGTGTCTGTACATAAAAATAAGTCATAAGTTTGCTCAGACTTTGTTATGCGACTGCATGTGTTTTTTGCCAAAAGTAGGTCACTCTTTTCAGTACCGTCTAGGAAAAGACAAAAAAAAAATGTTAGTATGTAACAAAAAATGATTTTTTCTCCAAATTTCTCATAAAACATAACCTGTCCGTTGGACAGACAACCCTGCAACTTCACCTGTCTGAACTGAATTTTTACCTGTCCCGCGGACACGGGGACAGGCGCTAATGTCCAGCCATGCAGGGTAAAATTAATAAGAAATCATTTAATGACTGTAATGCTGATACTATACAAACATGTATGTGAGAGTCAACAATAAATAACTTAAAAAGCCTATCAATATACAATGATTGTAAGTATTAACAATCACAAGGGAAATTAATTTTATGGAAAATAATTTTAACAATGATTACAGTTCTCATTTGGTGAGTTATTTGATGCAGAAACTCAATGTACTGAGAATGGAGCAATCATCTTTGAGCCCTGATATTCACCCTACTGAGAACATTGGCATATACTCGAGTGTGCATTGCAGAGGAAAACTAACATCCTTACATCCCGGACACACTTGCCCAAGCTCTTCAGAAATATCCAACAAAACAGATGTGTTACATTTGTTGGGGGCAATCTGTAGTATGTGATAGTCACTGTGCTGACAAAAATGAAACAAAAATTGACTAAATGCTAAACCTTCATTACAGATTCCTTATTTGCTAGGAATCAGATGTGGTCATTAGTGTCTCTAGGGGACTATTCAGAATGAGAAGAGTCGAGTGTTAGCTGGTCCACAGCCTAAATATGGTGCACCCACATGAAAGAAAGACTGCTTAATCCTGTAATGGTCTCTCTGCCTCCCCATGCATCGTCCCTCGACCAGTCAAATTGAGATGCAGGGACGACGTGTGGGTAGGCGTGAAAGAGGCGGAGAGACCATTACAGGATTAAGTGGCCTTCCTTTCTTCTAGGTCTGCCATATTTAGGATGTGCACCAGCTAGCACTCAGCTCTTCTCATATGTTCTGAATGGTCCCCTATAGGTAATCAGGAAAACATTTGTTTGGGTGCATAAGTCACCAGCAAGAATTAAGTACACTGAATATGAGTGGAAAATTACATCAGTGCACTTGTTTTGAAAAGGTGAAATACATGTATTGGAAATAAAGGAAAAAAAATCTGTCCTACATGTAAACCACTTCCATACCCACAAAACTTACCAGGGTGTACATAATTTTCTATGTATGTTTGTCATTTCTGTAGTAAATGTCCAAGCTAAGCTACTGAAGTACTGGCATAGTGAGTGGAAACCATAATAGTCCATCGCCAGCAATTAAAATTTACTAAAAAAATCAGCTTAATCCTAGAACATGTTGCTATGGCAACAAAATTTAGTAGGTTTCAATCACTTTTCGACAATCTTGCTAGTCCCAAGATTCATTGCTTCCAATGTTCCCTATAGAACCTCCGGACCAATGAACCCTTGATTAAAAAAACATGACCAATTGAACCTTCGGACTATCAATCAAGACCCCCCCCCCCCCCATTTACATGGGAACCTATCAGTACTAGTTTTTTCCAAATCCATGACTGTCACATGTACTGAACAACCGTGTTGGACATTTGGACAATGAATGCACTTCATCTGTGAAGTAAATTGAAACTATATACAAAAGCAATGAAATTTTCCATATGGTTTTATTGAAATAATTGAATCCAAATTAACATTGTATACATGGGCACCTATCATTTCTTAAATATGGAAGCATTGTCAACTGTGTATGTTTAGACATTAAGAAAAACCTAGCATGCAGAAATATCATAAGGACATACCCTTGAGGTGGTGTATTTCGTGAATTTCGTGGTATTTTGGTGTTTATAATTTAGTGACACGTACCATAACTTCACAAGACAGTATGATCTAGCTACGAACGTTAATTCAGAGGCCATGTTGTGACGTTTAGCCTTTTTAGTGTGCAGTAGTTTTTTTTCTCCAGTATCTCAAAGTCCCAAGATACAAGGCTGGGGCCCCCAACTAACAATAACACGTACTGCATGTACACTGTATGCCCCACGTAGATATCTACTCCCAGTAGGCTGGTCGCCGAGGTCGGTCATCGTTTCATTGCAATATCAGCTGAAAAACAACAATTTTCCCAGTGCACCATTATAAAAAACAAAAGAATACTTACCCTAGTTTCAAACCGCGAGAGATGCGGCACAATATATCCGCGATTATACTGTGTTTGGATATATATCTATTCCGCCCTGAGCTAAATTCACCCCCAAGTATTGAAATAGGGTCACGTGTACTTCTATTCGTAAACAAACATGGCGGGCTCACGCAGAGGTACGAAGGGGGAAAGACATCTTTCTTGTGATATGCACACAGTAGAAGGTTGCAGAGAGACAGTAGACATAATCACACGTGTTCGCTGGGAAACTTTTAGGAACGCAGCTAAAGAATGGCTGAGACTTGGTGGCAGAGAAGCTGCTGCAATTCAATCAATTCGTGGAGATTTGGACAAGGAATTCGACGATTTGGAGCCCAAACCACGATGCCACTTCTCTTGTTACAGAAATATTACGAATAAAAAGAAATTGTCTCAGGCTACAAAAAGGGAGGAGAAAGCTAAAAGAGAAGGCAAACATGCTGAAGAAGGTAAGATATCATATTCCATTATACTTTCAACTGAGCCCAGCTGATCTCCCATTTTTCTTATGAGATGGGCACTCTATAAGCATTTTAAAATCAGTTTAAAACAGTTTAAAATAAAAGCCCTCACGCTTGTCATGCCTATTACCAGAATCAATGTTATTATACACAATATACATTATTCCTGGGGGAAAATCCCAGTTTGCAAGACATAGAATATCTGTTGTTAAAAGTGAAGGCATGAATTAAAGCAAATTCTTTCACAGTCAATTCTACTTAACACCCTGCTTTCTGGTGACTGGAAAATTGCATCATAATTTAACCTTTTTTGCAGTGAATTAACTTTTGTTTTTGATTCAGGTAATTCAGGGCTTGATTCCTTGGTGATTCCAGTTGATTTTGGTGAGTACTCTTGACCCCAGTACTAGTTATATGTTTATGACAGTAGCTAGGAGAGATTCTTGTTGATATTGGTTAAATGTTTTGACTGTATTCAGATTCAGACATATATCATATACCAGCTGGGTTGATCCAACTATCACAAAGGAGATTCCTCAAGTATCTTCGGGGGCACAGAGTTAGACCAACCCAACTAGTATGAAAATGATGGATAAATCTGAATGAGGTCCAGTTAACGTTTATGATCGAGGCCTGCCCCTCTGTATATCCCATCAGTGAACAATCTAAATAGTGGAGTTCAAAAGACTTGGGTTTAACAAATGATTTTGTCCTGGGAAGATGGGCAGATGGAAGAGGATAATTATATGCTTTTGCTGCTTTTTTTTATTGTTCAAATCTTTTATGTTGACTGTCCATGTTATTTTGGGTTTTCCTTAGACATATATGCTACTTACAAAACAATAAGCTACAATGTAATGATTACATGATTACCACTTTTAGGAATTGTTTCTTGTAACTACCCTTTAAAATATACTAGTTAGTAAGTAAATGGTATGTAATATGGTTGGTTACCATAGAAACCATCAGTCTGGGTAGATCACTCCAACTCTGCGTAGACTCTTTCTTAGTGCGATGCTGAACTAAATGACACTCCATTTTGTTTCCAACATAATAGTAAAATCACCAGCTTCTCTTTATTCTGCTAATTTAAACTGAAATCCAGGAAGAGGCATTTCATTCAGTTCAGTTGACTGCACTCAGCAAGAGTCCCTGTAGAGTTAGATTGATCTATATAGGCTGCTGGTGTCTATGTGAATGGGTCTTAATCATCAATTCTAAATAGATTTCATATTATAATTTAGAATACATATCCACTCATGCAGAGTCCAAAGCTAAAAAAGAAAATTGCACACAGGCAGGTGACCTTAATGTGACAGCGAGGCAATTCCTGGATGCTGAAAGCAGTTTAGCAGCAGCATTTGGTGGCCAATATAAAAGATGGACTGAATTGAGGAACCAGTTGAAGATTGGGCATGAAGATCTGGCAAAACTTCTTCTTGACAGGTGACTATAGTTTCAATACAGTAGAGCGAGTGTCTTGACTATTTTTTAACATTAAGTATAACTTAAAAATTTAATATCATTTTTAATTATATTTAGGATAATAGATATAAAGTGAGAATAATGGTTATTATGATAATAATACTGATAGTACTAATGCATGATAATGATAACAAAAAATCATGGTATTCTGTATTGTGATAATGATATGGCAAATGCATGGCCATACTTACATGCACAACACAAGAAAAAGATCGGGACATGAAAAGCTAGAAAAGGTCAGTTGCAGGAAAATTGGGGAATATTAAAGCAAAATATATGTCCAGGTGATTAATATCATTGATCCATTGATAATAAATTATAATGATTTGTTTATGTTGGGGCATTCATTATATTGCAAAAAAAAAAAAGAGTCATCAGTGTAGAGTGCCCACTTGGTGGACATGCACTTTTTAGCTTGATCGCTATTTGTATGAAATGGTGCAACTCTACAAAATACTATTAATAATGGTTGTAATAGCAGCATATGTGTGTGCTCCTGACCCTTGGTTTGTCCTCCCTCAGTTGGGGAAAATGGAAATGGGAAATGGAAATGGCAAAATGTCTTGGTTAAACTGATATATGGCTCTTATCATTCCAGCTACCATGTGTGTTCTTGCAGATGTGAAAGAGAAGATCTTGGTTTCAGAGAAGAGGATGAGTCACTTTTAGGTGATGTCACTGGTCAAGACATGGCTACCACCTGGGGGAAGCAGCAGTCAATCCAGAATAAAACAAAAGCACACAACCAGAATGTAAACATTGGTGTAGCTGATATTGCAGATAACAATTCTGATAATGAAGAATGTTTTGATGAGGATAAAGAGGACAACTGGCCTGTTCTCCATGCGGATGATGAGGATATAAAAAACAAACCCACGGGTACGAAAAGCATTTCTGCCAATGAGTTATGTGTGGAAAAGGATGATGAGAGAGAATCCAATGCTGGAAGGAGGACAAGTCTCCATGCAGATGTGAAGGGGGTATATATCTATATAAAAACCAAGAAGAATGAAAATGATGATGAGATATACAATCCTGGTGAAAATGTCCCATTCCAAGGTGTTTCAAAGGATTCATTAAGGGAAAGTAAAAAAACCATACATGATGGGATACTAAACATAGAGGATATTATTAAGAAGATGAAACAAAATAAGAAAGATAAAGT